CTAGCTTGTCAGTCCCGCTTCTCCAGCTCTTATCAGGACAGAAGTACTTTGGTTTCATTTCAGAGAGGAAAATGAAGCTTAATTGTGCCCACCCTCCCCCCTCAAGTAAATGTTTATGCAAAACTCACAGTTTGTTTTTAAACGCGCTTTACCAAAAGCCGAGGTCGCCCTTAATTTCTGCAACGCTTTTTTAATATTTAGTTGCAAATGTTTAGCGGCATATACAAAATAAACGTCTAAAATTACTGAAAAATGCAAAGGCAAGGATAGTACAGTTATGTTTATATCCACTCATGCCCCAAGACTCCGTCGGTAAAATGGATCACCTTAACAGGGACAATGAGTATTAGCAATGCTATTTCTATAGGTTGCCTAATTCCAACCGAAACCTGCACACTTGTAAAAGGGTAAACTACTTATTAATTATTAAGTAGACAATCAGGTGATGAGTACCTGTATATAGATCGACATGGAGAAAAGAATTGAGTGTGTAGAGGTACTTAAGGAACGCAAAGTTTGTGATTCATCGAACATCTAGCGCCCCCAACTTGGACTTTACTAAACTTACTCTACAAAAATGTCAATCATGTTTGCTTAACTTCGCAACAAATGTTGTCGCACTAACGCAATTATAATTTTGCTGACAAGAATATTTCGAGAACACAAGCCGTGTAAGCCCATCTCGGCTCGTTTTTGACCTTTGAGCAAGGTTTAAGACAGCTAATCAGTCAGTCGGAAGTGGTCGATGGGTCAAGGTCATTTGCATTGTTGTCCCAGTCGCAGCTTGAAATCTTCATTAACATAGTAAGGGGTATGAGGGAGAATGACGATAATCCAAAGGGTAAGCTGGTTAGTTTAGGGCAAAAAAAACGGAGTAGACGGGAAGTACCAACTGCGGAGTTTGGGGGTTAGATTTTTTGATGCATAGATGTGAGAAGCATAATTCTCTTGTATTAACGTAACCTCCTGATAAGTTTAGAACACAGTCGGCTTAAATGATCCTCTTCTTCCACTAACATGTATCCATATAGTTTTTAACATTGCGCATCACTTGAAAAGCCATATCGAAATAACCGATGCGTAGGTCATGCGATTTATTTGGCGACAAGTTAAATTACGGTTCTTAAATCCTGA